AATCACCTCAGTGTGTTTGCATTCATAGCTTGGGTTTTGTTTGGAGTATTCAGACTAATTATTTAATCAGAAAATTAACATTCCCTGCCCTCCTCCAATAGGATTGGAAAATATTTGCTGTGTGCTTTTATGCTACCTTAGGAGCCAGATTCTCTTTCTATCTTTCTACCAAGATAACAATTCTTAATTTCATAATGGGCACAGGACAAAAATTGGCCTTGCAGGTAGCTTTTTGGAGATGTACCCATTTGTTCTATAAAGTAAAAGATGCCAACATTAGACACCCTGGGAAGGAAATGTGGGTCATACCTTTAACCAATCAATCAACAAGCAACAAGTGTGCCAGGCACTGTATTAAATGCTAGAGATACAAAGACAAAAATACGACAATTCCTGCCCTCAAAGAGTTCACATTCTATAAAATTCAGGGAATTTGCAGTTCAAATGGGGATGATCTTGGGAGCCCATCAGATAGATAGATAGATGTTGTTCAGTTGTGTCTGACACTTCATGACCACCGTTTGGAGTTTTCTTTCTCTTTTTCTTTTTTTTTTTTTAAAGGTAATTGGGGTTAAGTGACTTGCCCATGGTCACACAACTAGTAAGTGGTGGCGTTTTCTTGGCAAAGATACTGCAGTAGTTTGCCATTTCCTCCTCTAGCTCATTTTACAAATGAGGAAACTAAGACAAACAGAGTTAAGTGACTTGCCCAGGGTCACACAGCTAGTAAGTGTCTGAAGCTGTATTTGAACTCAGGTCTTCCTGAGTCCAGGTCCAGAGCTCTATCTACTGTGCCCCATCACTGCCCCAGATAGACAGGTACATATGTATGTAGACAGATAGATACATAAATATGAATGTATGCAGAGAAACCTGGAAAAATACATGCATGTATACATATAGATGTATGCATGTGTGCATATACACATATATGTACATATATGTGTGTGTATATATATATATACAGGTTTGTCTGGATTTTGTAAGAACACTATTTCTACAACACTTTTTTCCTCCTCGTTAAAGTGCTGTGACACACACCATTGTGCCCTATGAGAACTTTTGTAAGTAAGACAGATATTATCCTTGTTTTATAGATGAGGCAACAAAGGCCTCAGAAAATTAAGTGCCCAGGGTCACATAACATAGTGAACCAGCAGTCTCAAAGTCAGGATTTGGATTTAGATCTCCAGCTCTGAATTCAGGGCTTTTCTCCGTGTACCACAATGCTTTCTGCTTGCCCTTTCTCTTCTGATCAGATGGAGTGGAAGATATAGCTCCCTTAAACTGATTTCATTCTCATCTTTTTCCCTAAGTCAATCAGGTATGGGTTTCAGTTGAACCACATTGGTATTTTAGATTGCATCCATCACTAGCTGACCAGTTATCTATAGAGAACAAAGGTCCAAACTGAACCTTGACCTGTGCTTTTTGTCTATTTGCCCTAATGAAACCAATTCTGGGTTTCTTTGTCCCTGGTCCTAGCTGAGAATGGCTGAGTGTTTCTTCATTTTGGTAAAGGGCTAATCCCTGGAAAAGTCCTGCCCTTGTGTGTAGAAATGTTGGCAATGACTATTATGCTCCTTACCATAGCCTATAACACATTGATCACATGAAAAAATGGTCAAGGTTTCACTTTCTTTTCTACCTTTGAAGCTCAGGTAGCAATCTCTGGCAGCAGGGTCAGACAGAGGTTAGGGAGTGGGGATACTGGTTCTTTGGACTGACAATCTATAAACAGGTTGTTTACATGGAGTTTCAGCTGTTTGACTTCTGTTTCGCTGTTGAGTTCCTTTTCACCAATCTAGAGCCATTATCGAATTATGGTTATAACTGCCCTGACTAAAAACAAGCTTTCCCATATGTAAAAGTTCTCTCTGTCACTTGTTCATTGGCTGTATGACTTGGTTGATTAGAGTGTGACACTGATGAGCTCATAGCTGTAGACTGAATCCCCAAATGGCCCACTTAACTTGGCCCTGTTCCTTAGTCCATGTGGGATTGAGATCCTAACCCTGACCTTATAGCATGCATTACTGGTGACTCGGTGTCCAAATAAAACACCAAGAATGATTCAATGCAGCTTATACCCATAATTTGGAACCCCAATTATACTAGGTCCAATTGATGAGGAATCAATTGCTACCCCTGAAAAATGGAAAAATGTCACCTTTTCCTAATCTTTCCCAAGCCCTATCTTCTCTCCTATTTCTATTGCTGGCATGACCATCCTCACAATTACCTGCACCTGAAATCATGAATCATATTACTCAGAGCTCTGAGAGACTTCAGATATCACAGGATCATTTAATATGAGGATTCTTAACCTTTTTTCATGTCTCAGACCTGCTGACAGTCAGGTGAAGCCCACAGACTCCTTCTCAGAATATTGGTTTTAAAAGTATAAAATACAATTCACAGGATTACAAGGAAGCTACCATACTGAAATACAGTTATTAAAAAAAATTTTGAATCAAGTTCACAGACCCCAGGTTAAATAAGAACCCCTGACCTAGCCAAACTTGTTTCATTTTTGTAGATGGGAAAATGAAGCCCAGAAAGTACAAGTGACTGACCCATAGTCATCCGAGTAGTAAACAGCAGAGCTAGGATTTGAACTCAAATCTCCTCTAGCTCTAGATAAAGTGTTTCCTCTCCCCCACCTACTATGTTGTCTGATACAGTAGAAAAGGTGACAGTCTTAAACTTAGGTTTTTTATTACCTATGTGATTGTGGGCAATTTACTTTCCAGCTTTCAGCCTCAGTTTCCCTTATCTGTACAAATGAGGTGGAGGGCTAGATCAGTTGTACCAAATACCAAACACAAATAGTAAAGGATCCCTACAGGCCACATATTGACTTAGAAAACCACTAATTAACACCACCTATATTGTATTTTTATTTTGTTAAACATTTCACAATTATATTTTAATCTGGGGAATTTTAAGCCTCTAAACTAGATGGCTCTAAAGCCCCTTCCAGCAGTAAATCTAAGATCTTAAGTTGTCTTAGACTCTTTCCTCTATCATGCTCACATGCAATCAATTTCCAAGTTCGTCTTACCTTCTTAATTCATCCCCTCTTTCTATTCCCAACTGCTATTCCAGTTTTTGATTAGACACATGCCCCTCCCTGCCATGCAATAGCAAAGAAAATAGCATCACCTGATTCTCAGACTTGCTGTCACATAATCTTCACTTATTAAGAGCCTGAACCCCATCTCTATGAGGCTGCAAATCTCCCCAAACGAGAATCTCATCACTAGCTCTGTCCTGGCCAGGCAACTAGCATATACACCTCCTTTTGCCCAGCTCTGATCAGTTACCAGAGACAAGATAATCTTAAAAGTAACTTTTTTTTAACTAAAAAAAAATGTAGTTTGAGTGATTGTGAGTAATAACAATGGCCTGATGGTTTCATTGCAGTCCTTTATGGACAGTCCATATGCTTCACTACAGGACATATTTGGGTGGCAGGCCTAGTGTGTTAGCATAGATTTTCAGCCATGATTATGGGGAGGTAGAGAGACTATTAATTGGCTGGGAGAAATCTTGTTTCTGTGGCATGGCAAGCAGTCTCCTTAATTACAACCTGGGTGATGCAGCACACTACATATACACACGTGCATACATACAATGCATAAATGCAGATCATACAGTCATCTCAATTATCCATGAAATAAAGTGGTATATGTATAATCCCACTGGGTGCTAATTTTTTTTTTCTATTTGCCTTCATAATGCAGCCAGAGGCACCAACTTAGTCACGTAGGTGCACCCCTCCACATGTCTGGCCAGATCTTTTCCTTAGAGCCACACCGTGGGGGTGGGGGTGGGGTGGGAGGACTGGACAATTCTTGGAGGAAAATTGAGAGGTGTCTCTGTTCCGAATTGGGCTGCTTTGGGCCCTTTGGTTGTCTTGATCATCTGAACTGAAATACCTGTCTCTCTTGTCCATTTAGTTCCCAGGGGCCAAAAAAACTAGCAGCCAGTTAGAAACCAGACTAGACAATCCCTCAAGTCTGCTTTAGCAGCCAATTCCAAGGTCTGCACCTCAGAGAGAAGAGAGCTATATGCCCCAAGGCAAGTGTGGACTGGGAAGTGATGTCTATCAGAGGACTGAGGCTGAATGACAAAAGGCTTCTCTCCCGGTGGGCTGTTGGCTGACCCGCCTTGGGCTGGATCCTCAGGGCGGGGGTCCTAGGCCATTTCCATCTGTGACATCCCCAACTCTGCCCACCACTGCCCTCTCGCGCCCTGATCCTCCCACCCGCTTCCCTCCCGCAAGTCGGAAAAAATGCAGCCCCAGCCCAGACTGAAGGCAGAGGAGTGCTTTGCCTGGCCTGGCCCATGGAAGGTTTCCAGCGGGCAGGTGTAGGAATGAGAGCTCCGGGTGGCTGCAGCCTAGGGGACAATGCTCCGGAGCTCATCGACAACAATAGCTCAAGGTGGGAGGGGGGGATGCTTCTCCTGCAGCTAGCCTAGGAGTGGGTGCGCCAGCCCCGGGCCAGCAGATCTGCCCGCTTCCCCCAAGGCTGCAGCAAAGGTAGGCTGAGGGGGAGCCTGTTGTGTTCCCCGCTTCAGACCCACCCGGCACAAGCAAGCGAGGCACAGGCAGGCACAATACAGCCCGCAGTCCCACGGCGGCCGCCCAGCTAGCCTGGTTTTGCTTTGTCTTCTGTCCCCGATCTCCCGCCCCCTTTACCGCGAGGGGCAAAGGAGAGCCAAACACACGTGCGAAAGCGCCTTTCTTTTTCGAAGAGTAGACTAGGGCACCCTGCACTGGGGAGGAGAAGGTAGGGCAGGGCGGGCCGAAGGAGAGCGTGGGGCTACATGGGGGCACCGCCGAGCCTCACTTGTGCACAGAGAAAGTTGGCCAGTTGAGGATGGAAGAGGGGGCGCCCCTGGGGGGCTACCCAAGTTGCTGTTGGCCTGGGTGACCGTGGGTGAGGGGCGGGGAAGCAGAGAGTCTGGCAGGGAGCCGGCGAAGGGGTCCTTACCTGGAATAAAGTCTCTTGGTGGCTGAATTCTGGACCTCATCACTGGTCAGACAAGCCATGAATTACCGAGAAGAAACAGTCCCTCCGGGGCGCGAGCACCCAGTCGGCGGCGGCAGCATGAAAAGGCGACCAAACCCGAGAGAGGCAGTCCTTGGGAGAAAGGCTAGTGGGGAGCTGCGCCCTGGCAGTCTCCCGCGGCCAGCAGACAGACAGCGAGCTAGAACGATGGCAGCAGCGGCTAGGAAGTGATGTATAGGCAAATAAAGTCTGGGGCAGGCCCCTCCCTCGCCCTCCTGCCCCCCGCCCCCCGACCGTGATGTCATACCCGTACACTGGGGAAGGGGGGACGGAGCTGACTTTGCTCTTCGGTGACCAGCGACAGCCGCCCCCCAATGCCCTCGCTTGGTGTGGGTTGCTCTGGGGCTGCCCAACAGCAGAAGACACCCGACTGCCCCCTTGGGCATTGTCTCTTGTCTTCGGGGGAGGAGAACAAGGGGACTGAGAAAAGGGATTCCTTCAAGCCTTTTCTGACTGGACAAGAACGAAAACACTTCTGGTGAACTGAGAACTTCATCAAATGGAAGCTGCCTTGGGTGTTGTAAAAAGAAGCAAATTATGAGGGCCTGGCACCCAGGCATCCTGGTCTTAATAATAATAATAATAATAATAATAACAACAACAACTCATATTTATACAGCAAGGCTTCCTCGAAACAACCTGGGAGTTAGGGAGAAAGAGCAAGTGTGTTAATTTTAGAGATGAGGAAACTAAGTTTCAGAGAGCTTAAGTGATTTACCCTTGGTCACAGAAATAGAAAGCTTTGAAGCTAGGACTTGGATCCAAGTTTCCTGAGACTAAGTCCATTATATCATACTGATTTCATTTACTTCCAAGGCTGACCTTCTTGCTAGCTTCCCTCTATTTAGTGGGAAAGGGAATTTCTAAGACCCTTCATAGACTAACATTAAGACTGGAGTATTCGCAATTAACTGAGCAATAAAAATGCATAAGGACAACAATATGAGGAATGGCTTTTTAGTTCCCTAAGGAATTGCTTGCCAAGTCTTGGGTGACATTACCTGTGGTTCTAGAGCATGTACCCTGGTGGCATACTCGGCCAGAAGGAAACTGGTGGCACACAAATAGAGGAACGTGTTTAGCCTACATCTGGGCTTTATTGCTAGAGTCAGCATTTTCACTGAATCATTCAAGTGGCCAGGATTTTAGACACGTCATATTTTTAAAAATCTCAGCTTGAATTCTTCTGGCCCTCAAAATATCCTCTTTCTCTTCTGAGATCCACATCTACCCCTCCTCAGGAAGTCAGTGTATGCTTAGGAAGAGTCCAACTGACTTGAAAAGCAGCCACAAATACATGTAATTAGGAAGGCAAAATGGGGGTGGGGGGCAGGGAGGCTTGTAGGCATGCATATTCAAACCAAACCAACTTTTGGATCCTCTGTACTATTGCTACTTCAACACATTCTAAGCCTGTGGCCAGTCACACTTAGCCACGCCCTTAGCATGTTCCTAGATTTGATAGCAACTGGGCTTCAGCAGCTGAGGCAGAGAATGGAAAAAAAAAATCAAAGAGGACATCTCAGGCCTGAGTGGGTTTGTTTTTCCTACAGAGGAAATTAGGTGGGAGAATGAGAACCAGCTGTGCTTCACTGCCTGTTCCCCCAGCTCCCACTCTCATACATGCCCGCACACAAAAAAACCAAAACCCACCAGAGACAGTAAGGGCCTTGCTTCTAAGGGCCATAGCTGCTGGCTGCCATGATGCAGACTGTGGGCAGCCAGCACCATTGTTTCAATCCTGGGTAAGGGAAGAGCAAAGGCAAATAAGATGGGGAGAAAGAAGGCCATCCCTTGTATGTGGTTCCTTGCCCAGTTAGCTGCATTCCACAACTTCAGAGCAAGGAGCCGACTTGGAAATCATTTTTAGTTTCCCCAGCCAAGAGGTCTGTGAAGTGTCTTGGGCCACAACGCTTCAGACAGGGAAGCAGCAAGCCGGCAAGGATCCAGTGGGTGTGAGTTTCAATTCTGGCTCTCAAACAAAATTTGACAAAATTCTATTCTCAGCGATTCCTTGAACCTTGTACCCCACAGGAGGGGGAGTCCAACACTGCCAGGACTTCCTGAGTAGAGGCACCCATTGAAGTCGGGGGGAACCTCTATACAGTTGGTAGGGCTCATAGCCAGGTCACCAGGCCACAGGGCAGAAGGTCTCTGTTGACTCCTGCTCCTTTTCCTACCCAGAGTCAGCACCTTGTCTTTCTTCCTGCACAGGTCACAGTGCCTGGGTATAAATGCCAAATTGCCCTGTTAGGTAGGAATATCAGAGGTTGGTAGCCATACCTGTTTTTTCTTACTATGTAGTGATATAAGAAGAAAGGGTTATTTATGTAAAATTTTTGTAAGTGAAGCACTATATTAATCCAAAGTATTCTTCCTGACAACTAAATCGGCTTTGGCTCTTATAAGAAAATTTCATGCTCAAAGCCAGACTTTTTTTTTTAATCAGGATTGAGACTGCTGGCAAACAGCAATGTGCAAAGTTAGTACGGCAAGGCTATCTTTACACCCAAAGGAACAAATCATAGAGAGGTAGAGGTGTAACTAAGGGGAGGTCATTAGCTTTGTGCACCAAGACACAAAACTTTAGAAGACACTAGTAGCATTTATACTTCTTTAGCGCCAAAGAAGCAACAGATCTTAGGAAATAATTACCCAGAACAATGAGGAAGACATATAATAGTGAAACGTGGCTGTTGGCTGCCTTCTCCATTTTCCCCTTCTACCCTTTTTCCTAAGTGAAGCACTATCAGGTAAGCTCCCCCTACAGTGAAGCTGCTTCTGTGCATTCTGAGGTCTCTCTCTCTCTCTTTCTGCCCCTCCTCCCACTGAATTTGTCTTTAACACATTGTTGTGAGGATGTGTTTTTGTGAAGCTTACTCAGGGTATGAGCTCCAGCTCTGCTGAGAAGGTATCAATCAACAAATATTTAATTAAATACCTATGTGCCAGGATCTGTGCTAAGGATATTTTGGCAGAAACAAAAAACATTCTCTGAACTGTTTACATGTTATATATTATAATATGCTATATAACATACACACATATAAGCACATGCAAAATAAAAACGAGGTCAAGGATGCAGTTGCATCTGAGAGATCAGTAAAGGCCTTATTTAGGAGGTAACTTGTGAGCTGGGGTTTGAAGGAAACTGGGGATATTAAGAGGCAGAGGTGAGAAGGGAGTGCTTTCATGTCGAGGACGTGGGAAATGAAGCGTTTCGTGTGAAGAAAAGCAAGAAGAGTTTGGCTGGATTAAAGAGTGAGTAAACAGCAATAATAAATAATATGACTGAGAAAGTGGGTTGGACAAGGTTGTGAAGGGTTTTAAACATCGGACAGAGGAGTGTGTATGTAATCTAGAGGTGCTAGGGAGCCAGTGGATTTATTGAGCGGAGCAGTAACATGGTCAGACCTGTATTTTTTGGAAAATAACTTGCAGCTGTGTGGATGGTAGATTGAAGAGGGAAGGCTCTTTAGGAGTCTCAGTAATCCAGGTAAGAGGTGATTTGGGACTGAATTAGGATGATGGCCATCTAAATAAAGATAAAGGGATAAATACAAGAGATATTTTGGAGATAGAATAAACAAGTCACAGCAACTGACTGGATTTTCAAAATGAGGAAGAGTAGGAAGAGTGAAAAAAGGTCAAGGGTGACTTTGAACTCAAATATCTGTTGATTGGGTGCTGGTGGTAATCTCCACAAAAATATGTGTCATGGCCGTGTGGGGGGAATCCTCACATGGAAGACATTGGGGAGCTGATAACTTTAAAGGTTACAGAAATAGAGGAGATGATTGGGGGGAGGGGTTGGTGGTAGTCTGCCAAAGGTAACAGGAGGGAATGGGATCAACATAAGTGCAGATGCCTTGGGGTGGAGAAGGGCTACCTTTTCATCAGAGACTAGAGTAAAGCAGGAGAGAACAGTGGATGATGTCAAATGGTCTTGAGATGTGGCGAAAGGGAAAAGAGGAGACTTATGGCAAATGGTATCTATTTTCTCAGTGATGTATGAGATAAGATCCTCTTCTGAGAAGGCAGTAGGAGGCGGTGGTATGAGAAGCTCGAGAAGAAAACAGTCAGCAAATTTCAGAAAAAAGAAGGTTTGGAACAGATGCCATGGGGATTGTAAGAGAAAATCAATGAAGGAGGCATGAGAGAATTGCTTTGCTGCAGTGAGGACCCAGTTGAGATTTAGATTAATAGAATGACCAGCACAGCTAATCAAAGCCCAGTGATAATGAGACCTGGGGGGGGGGGCCGGGTTTGCTCTTTCTACTGACTGATTTGATTTGCACCTAGGGAAAACTGTGTTACCTAACCACACACTACATTCATGCCCTTAGGCAATCACCAAAATCTGTCCTTGCAAAGACCCTGAGAGAGAGCGTGGATAATTAAGTGCAGTCCATTTCCACTGTTAGAAAAATAACTCATTGTCTCCAGTATTTGGTCAGGTGCATCATCTTATTATAAATGTTGAATGAATGGATGTATGGATGGAGAAGATTGGCATGGTATCATGTCTACATGTTTAATAACAGCCAAGGGAGATGTATCAGAAACCTAACTTGTTCTCCTGAAGGATATGATGTTAAGTGGATCATGTGGTTTCTTGGCTCAGAACATGAGAAATGAGAGACTGAGACAACTCTAGCAGTGGAAGGAAGGACTCACCTTCACAATGCTGCCAGGCAATGCTGGACTGAAGCTAAGTTTGCTTTAATTGGCACAGAGAGCTAGTGTCTATATTATTGGTGGCTTCTGATGGAGTTCTGGTCTGGCCATGGAAGGCTTCAGGGTTTCAAGCCCTTAAGCTCTGACTGTCTTGGGCCATCCAGTGGGTAGACAGTCAGCCAGTCTCTCAAGCCAATACACCGCAACTTGGGACCTCCAAATCCCTTATTGGAACTGGATACTGTAGAGAGTATGGGCTATTTCAGGGAAAGAAGTGGTGGGATAAAATCCTGCAGGCTCTGACAAATAGACTTGTCCTCCAGCATGGGCTCCTGGGAGCATGGTTATGATAAGTTCTCTGTGGCAGTTAAAAGGTAGGGATGGGGGTTGGGGTGCAAGCTTGGCTGCATATTAGTATTGCTTGGCAGTAGAATGAAGGGGAGTTCTTTTCAGTGCCAAAGATTTCTTGGGATTTTGTGTCATGCTCAAAGCCCAGTAAGTTCTCAGGATGCCACTGAATATCCTCCAGTTGTTTTATGTATATATTGTATGTCCCAGACCATGGGATGTATGGTAAGGTCACAAACAGCGAGAGGCTATGACTTTTTTCCTTTGGTTTAGTATTTCTTAAACCCTTAGTATGTTCTCAGTCTTATTTTAGGTACCATGATAGTGAAGAAGAGGAAACTCTGTCCCTTCAG